GTGGAGGAGGGTTTGGACCCCACCTCCACATGGGCCTGTGTGGAGGGGGCCTTGCCCCCACCCCATGTGGGTGTGGAAAGAGGAGGGGCCCACCCTCCCCCCCCACCCTGGAAAGGGTGTGGAAAGGGGAGGGGCCACCCTCCCCCCACCCTGGAACGGGTGGGGGTTTCCCCCACCACCCCGTCAGCACACCCCCTCCCCCGCGCCCCGCGCGGCGGACCCGAGGTAGTAGTAACCTAGCCTATCTACTCACGCGGTAGAGCGAAACATATTTGTGCGAACAACCGTACCGAGAGAAATCAACTGCAGAAAAGCCACAGTACTTGTATCGACAACATCCACCACAGACTCTCAATGCAACAACGTTAACACGTGCTAATCCGAAATTTGATAAATCCGGTACTTTCACAAAATATGCAAATGGCTACAACGACATAAGCGATTAAACGATAAACGCGTGAGACAAGTTAATACGACATTAGCTGATTGACAACACGAGACAATAGATAACTGCATAAAACAACGGTCACAGAAATTGCTAACGTAAACGATCCTTATGTGTGTACGCATAACAAATTTCTGCAAGCATGGAAAACGTTATCAAATATTTGACGATATATGATATCAATCAGTCAATCATGATGCTTGACGAACGTTGACAAAGAATGGACGCAAGCGCGAACGGTAACGTCAAGCTCAAGAGTCAATCACAGGTGTAGTAGCCGAGTCGCATACAGCTACTGAAATGCGGGTGCAACTAACAAACGTAACAAAAGGAAACTAAATATGGAAAAATCGGTTCTTATAATTAGGCAAATAGTTAAGAATATTTTATTAACTATATGTAATTTTATTTTCTTAATACATAATTGTTATATGTACCTGATTAAAATGAAACCAACATCCAGTTAAATTTGCTCTGGGGAACTTTGTACTAAGCGATTTTACTGCAGCCATTTCAAAATCGCTCATTACAAAATTGATATTTTGTTCAAGTTGTGGTACTAGCTGCATAATTTTGTCCCACAAAATATCATACATAGCAGTTGTACGTACATCACATAAGATGAATAATGTCGCAATGCCCTGGAAAAATTATTTTATTTCTAATGTTTCAAAAATTTTAATTAACAATGTTTCAAAAATTTTTAATAAATATCTTACCGTATCCATGTATCGTATATGTACAGAGTAGAGTTGCGCAATATGAGGTTTGCGTGGGAGAACCTTAAAAGGAATATATACAATAATTCTTTTTAAAATTTGAAAAAAATATATATTTATTATCCTTTAATATTCTGCAATTATAAAAATAATATTGCAATTTGTTCGCCACTGTAAATATTATAATTTTTTTGTTAAAATTTTATAAAGAGCGAATGGTTATACTTACAGAAAATGTTCCATCCACATAGAGTTCAGTAGCGGATGCTAAAACTTCTAGTAAATACTTGGTTGATAATATTATTGCAGTTTTCCCATCATTTGTAGTTACACTGTCTTTATATATATTTGGTATTATATCACAATTTTCCAAAATATCACGTAATGATGCTAATGCATCAGGTACGGGTGGTCGGCTTTTTATACGTTCACGTTGCATGGTACATCTCATAGATGGAAAACTCAAATATTGCGCTGCATCCGGATTGCTAGAAAAAGTACATATTGTAAATAAAGAAAATTATAAACAAAAACCCTGTTGAAAAACATACAAACATATTATTTTTTACTGCCATAAACATTAAATAAGTTTGTAATAGAAGAAAGATTTGTATTAAACTTTTTCGCAAGACTTTAAAAGAATAAATGCCTTTCATTAGAAATAAAACATAGTTTCTATTAGTTATTTCAAAAAAGAGAAAAAGTAGAGGGTAGAGAGAAATATTCTGCAGATATATTCTAAGTAAAAGTTAATTGCGAATATCAAGATTTTATTAAATACTTTAATCGTCATTACAAAGATACTATTTATAATTTTGACAGTTCGTTATATGAAATAAATAAAAATTTAATTTTTTTAGCGTTTTAAAAACCTTCCTATTATACAATAAAAATATGCGCCCGTGGTTTTTTAGTTCCAAATAAGTTCTTTTAAGGGGGGAGGGTCAAGTAAACGGCT